AATTTCAACTATAGTGATTTTTAGAGGTGTTTTCGCAAATAATTATGATAGAGTCAAAATTATGCAATCGTGTTTTTGAGCAATCAAATTCAAGATAAAGACATGAATTTACCTATATCAAAATCCCACTTTCGTTAGTGGTGTCATAGTCCTATACGATTCGATGAAAGGAGGTGCATTTTTTCACGATGTCGCCTTAATGTCGCCTCTACACGTTGGCCAATACAGTGGCGAATGTAGTGGCGAATATATTGGCCGAGAGTTGGTGACGGCGTCCACACGTTGGAAGGTCGTTCAGTTTACTTCGGTTCGGGCCAATGTGCGGACGAACGACGGATCCGTGGCGCAGTGGCTTAGCAATGAGTAGCTGTGCCGGGGGCCGCGGGTTTGAATCCCGCACGGAACAAGTATTTGTATATCCTACAAATAATTGTTTCGGGTCTGGATGTGTGTCCTTATGCAATTTATGTTTGTAAGTTGCCTCCGCGATACAGGAGAAAATCCAAGTGTGGGGGTAACGTTTTTATAAAATAATTATAAAAGAATAGTGAATATTAATGGGCTGTAAATAGATATACGATTAGCTTTATTTATTCTTTACATGCATCATAAACTGGAATAAATACCATTAATAAGAACTAAACTTATTAAAGTTAAAAGTTATAATCGATTAGTCTATGTTTTAAAATTGGGTTTTTTTTTTAAAGTTTAGCAAAACATGTACTTGCATTTCTATCAGACATATGATGTATATAAAAAACACCTTATAATTTATTAATTAAGAAGTTAGTAATTTAATTATTTTTTGAGAAAGACAAAAACAATAGCAATAAATATAATTAACACTGACTTAATAATAGGTGCTAATTATAACTTAGAACATAAATGAAAAACTCATGACAAGGAAAGTGGCTCAGGACCATGCTTTGCGGCAGTCTGTGGAGGAAGATGTCAGTAGTGGACTTGTGAAGAGCTGTAATGATGATGATGATTCGAAAACTTGCACGATTAAATTATAAGAAATCGACGCTTTTTTATATAGGATAGGGTGACAAACGAGCACACAGTTCACCTGATGGTAAGTGGTTGCTGTGGCCCACAGACATCTACATCTATCCTCGATTACGAATCAAAATGCAGATGCGTTGTCACTCGTGAGGACTAAGATGAAATGCCTCGTTTCATTTAAAAAGTGTCTCTGGTTCTCTACAGTCACTATACGAAACACACAATCATTAAGCTACTATTTTATATTGATATTCTGTGAGAGCGTGGTCCTTCCCCGGTCGAACCGACCCATTCGTGCTACAACTATACTTCTAATATAACTGCATGGTTCTACCACGTATAAACGACGTGCTTCATTTTTTTTGTCATTTTAAAATTGTTCTCGTAATAATCTGATTGTAAATAAATGTTCATATTTTTTTTTATAAATAGCTTATCGATTAAAACAAATGTTTAAAAATAATTGAATCGCGCTAATTAAAGTAGTAGGAATATTTAAAGTTGAAATTGCCACTAAAAGTCTGGTAATTGGGGCATCCACCCTACAAAGCTTGAATATAAAATTTAAATCAGACGCGTGTAATCACTCTGGGAGCTTGTAGCAAACTAAACGCGCGGCCAACGTGTGGACGCGGCGACCAAACTCTGCCAACAATCCTTTGATCTTTTGTAAAAAACCGACACCTCACGGATCTCGCGCCAACTTGCGGGCCATCGTTCCAATACATACCAATGAAGCCCAAACACCCCGTCTACACGTTGGCCAATGCTATTGGCCACTACGTTCGCCACTGTGTTGGCCAACGTGTAGAGGCGCCGTAACACAACGATGGCTACATAAGGGCAGAGGCTCAACAAGCTAACAATATACCGAAACATGTTTTGTTTCAAGATGGTGAAACTAGATGGGACTCAACATATCAGATATTGAAGTGATTACATGAACAACGCATAACGATTCAAGATGTTTTACCATCCTACCGAATTGTGGTCATGAAATCACAGTAAGGCAATGGGGTCTTATGAGCCAAATTATTGGTATTCTCGCCAATTTTGAAGAAACTTCTAAAGAGCTAAGCAAAAAAATCCCAATAATACGAAGTCTTAAATCTTGCCTCTGATCCATTGACCTTTTATTTGGCGAGAAGATGTCCATTTTCCAAGGTTGAAAAAATTTGCCCAAAAATATTTTTCACTGAAACCATATACATATTACTGTATACAGTAGACTGAAAAAAGAAATAGCCTAAAACTAGAAAATCTACAAATTTTAATTTTTTAAATAAAAATTTGCCTGTTGTAAATTTTAATTATTGAACACAATTATTTCAAAAGGAAGGATAGGCCCATCTAAATATTTTACTCATAACTTTTTCATACAAGAAAAAGTAGCGCATCTGTCATAATACAAACGTCACATCATAACACGACGTAACCAGGGTCGGATTTCGTAGTATAATTATTATCCTAATTGTACCATTATTTCATAGTTTGTAGTATGTAGTATCGTAAAAATACTAAGCGAAAATACCATAATTCTACCTAAAGGTCGACTTGTATTATTATTGGTTATTACCCAATGGTCCTTTTACTTTTTGTTATTAACCCTACGATATCGAGAATTTCTGTATTGTACATGAGTACTGCGTTTTTTATTAAAATTAGAATTAGCTCCCTTTCTGGTCAATCGGTGCTCGATCGATGCATTTATGTTGCATCCTTGATACAACTATAATGATCTATGATATCGGTTCGATCTAAGATATAGGGCTATCACGATAAAAACTCTAAGCTCTAAGCAATCGGTTTGAAAACAGAATTTCAAAATATTTTATGAATCAGATTTTCAGATTCAATTAAGCAGATATGGTTTCTTTTGTACTCTTTTCATTTTACCGTTATTGGATATAAAATATATTAGATACCAATATTTAAAATTTAACTTATACTAAGTTCTTTAGAGAAAATAAAAATAAAAAACCGACGAAAAACGAAAAATATAAATAAACTAGACGCGTGACGCCAAAATCCCGGCATATGGGAAAAATAAATATGAAACCTCAAACGTGATATAATTTTCGAAAAGTAGTATACCTAATTTTATTTTCCGTGTACAATATTTTTGAGGGTTTGGTAACGTAACTAAGCTAACTATGAAATAAAACTTTTAAAATGCGTTTATATAATAATTTAATATTAACAAAACGAATATAAGGTTATTTTACCGATGATACGATATCCCATCATCTTGTTCATTTTCACCCTTTTACTACAAACATACCTCACCACTGCCTAAACGTTGTTCGGCCCGGTCCTTACGCTAGTAATATATAAATCAATGTTAGAACAATAGAAAATCATTAAATAAATTAGTTTTCATTACTATGGCCAGATATTCGTATTCGTATTCGCCGAATAGAAGGTTTGATATCCGTATTCGTAAATTAATAGTAATATTAATAGTATAACCTCTTCTCTTTACTTGGCTACTTCAAAAGAAGGGTAGGTAATGTTTTTCCAGATTATGTGTATGTATGTACGGCAACGCACGGAGCTCCCACGTTCCGCCGAGATCAAATTTAAAAACTTATAACTATTACAACAAACACTTACAGCCTAATAAAGTCCACTACAGACCATAGGTCGAGAGCCGTGGTAGCTCAGAGAGCCGTGGTAGCTCAGAGAGCCGTGGTAGCTCAGAGAGCCGTGGTACAAAGCCGTGGTACTCAGAGAGCCGTGGTAGCTCAGAGAGCCGTGAAGTACTCAGAGAGCCGTGGTATCAGAGCCGTGGTAGCTCAGAGAGCCGTGGTAGCTCAGATGGTTAACGCTCGTTGTAAATATAACAGAACGCGAGTAACCCGGGTTCGATCCCCGCCGGCACCAATGAAATTGTTAATTGCTATTTTAAGTGCTGATTTACCACGTGCTCGGCGGTGAAGGAAAACATCGTGAGAAAACCTGCATGCCTGAGGAATAAGAAAAAAAAATATTTCGAAGACATGTGAAGTTCGCCAACATGCATTTGGGCAACGCGGCGGACACTTCCTTGCCCTAAACCCTCTCAGAAATGAGGGGAGGCTTGAGCCCAGCAGTGGGACGTATATAGGCTGTAACTTTACTTTACTTTACAGACCATAGGCTTATCCCATATATTACCGAGATATTTGCCATAGTTGCCACGCTTGGCAAGCGGGTTGGCAACCGCAGTTTTTTATTTTAAGTCTTATTAGGAAGACGCTGCTGCCCATCTCCTGCTTTCACTCCGTCGCCTAATAATCATGACTGATAAGTGATAATTAACATCACGGTCAAAAATAATGTTTTTGTCCATGTCTAATGAGTAATCGACGTGACAAAGTGATTTTTCATTGTTATTTTTATGGAACTGTAACGTCGGTCATGGTTATTAAAAATAACACTTCCCCAAGCCTAGCCGCCTTTTACGACACGGCATGATATGGATATTCGTACACTGCAACGTTTTGAGTAATGAAACGATGACTGATAATTTCTCAAAACATTTTCACATATCGACGGCTTGCAATCGTGACTAGCGCTGACTTGACCTTCATACAAACAATCCCTTTAAATTGTTTAATTGGTAATTTCTCAAAACATTTTATTAATCGACAACGTATTGCAATCGTCATTACACTAGCGCTGATTTAAAAAAAAATATTGTCTTTGGCTTGACCATAGGTTTAACTAATTGGTCCAACAAACTGTCAGGGAAACGAACAACATTTTTTTTTTATTTGCCAGAATTTGAGAGACCAACGTCAACGCACACCAAATACGTTAATTTTAACAAAATGTACTACGGTAAACTGCTAAATACAAGAAATGAAAGAACTTACTTGCCGACAAAGTTTTATTCTTAAAAAATACATTGATAAACACGGTTACAAATTCGCGATACACATTGATTTGAATGATTACACTTACAACACTAGTTCGAAACCATTTGATTCAGCAGGGACCACACGGTGAACATGGGCCACAAGGACCGCAACAGGGTCCACGGCAAGGATTACAGGGCCCACAAGGTCCGCACGGGCCACAGCATGGCCCACATGGACTACAGCATGGTCCACAACTTCGTGGACCGCACGGTCCACAGCACGGGCCGCAAGGACCGCAACAAGGTCTGCAAGGCCCACAGCACGAACCACAGGGTCCACAAGATGGACCACAAGGTCCACAACAAGGGCCGCAGGGACCACATGGACCACACGGACCGCAGCACGCCATTTTTAAAATTTTTTCAAAGGTAAAATCTTCCTTGTCAAACAAAATCGATGTTCACTAGACAATTTTGTAAAATTTCGGTTTTAATGTTTTATATTTTTTATATGATTTTTTAAAGTTTTGATGTAGATTGACTATGTAAAAGCTTACAAATGACTGATAATTTCTGTTCTATCAGAAAGACGTATATAAATTTGAATTGAGTTCTAGATGTTTTTTTCTTTTTTAAAAATATAAACAGATTTAGGACAGTGTTTTTGAGCTAAAAAAACTATTTCGAAAAGTTTCATATTTTTAAATTACATTAATTAATTATTACAGTGGAAGTTTAAAGTTTGAAGAAAGAAACAATGAAAATATTTTGTGTGGGGCGTAAAACTTATGAAACTTATATTGCTTTTGAATATTTCAAATTTTATTATTGTTTTTTTATTGTAAACACCTGTTATAACTATTCAAGTTTCGTAGAACATACAGTGATATAATAGCGGTAAATATTTATGAGTGATTTCAAAATATGTGGTTTCAACTCTTTGAAATTGAAATTTGAAATTGAAAATTTGACAATTTATTTCTTTCTTTCTTACGGCATACTAAATAATACAATAATTGGAGCCTCCTAGTAAGTATAAAAGAATACCTGTATAAGGAGGCACCGCTCTTACTAATAATATTAAATATGTATTTAGATTGTATATTATATAGTTATATAACATAATAATACCTTTTACGTATGAACTTTTGGTTATAGGCTTGGTAAATACAGTTGCGATATAATAAAGGTTTTTCGTAAAATATTCCATTATTTTAATAGACACGAAATTGTTTACGCCAAAGCCTTCTAGAAAATAGTCCCGTATTTTGAGATGGTGCTGCCAGTCTCCAGTTTCAATTTCCTTCTTTCACTTCTTACGACGCCCACGGGGTATCAAGGGGTATCCACAGTAAAAGTATTTGTAAAATATTTAGATAATTTGAGAAACAAAATTACATTTATGAATGTATAGTCTCGAGGACACCGACGTAACAATTCTTTCCTAATATTTTTATGTATTTTTTGAAATTTCGCGACAATACAACACTGCTTTCCCGTCGACATTATTTTAATCTCGCTATTTTTAAAATTATTTCGCACTAATACTTTCGCAAATTTAAACCACGTGAGGCAGGTCTGAAATCAACATTGACGTTTTCTCCTGTGTTGTAACACAAAGATCAGTCAGGCAGGAGGCGCCAGACAAAGTGGCAGATTGTACTCTTCGGTCTTCTGTACAATCTGCCGCAGGGTATGTATGTGGTCTATGGTACTGAAGCCTTTTCGGAAACCGGCTTGTTCGGGAGGCTGGAAGTCGTCGAATTTGCGTGCGAGACGATTCGTAATGACTCTCGAAAACAGCACGTAGACGCGGCTCAGAAGGGAAATCGGTATGTAGTTCTTCAAGAGAGCGTTGTCGCCTTTGTTAAAGAACAAGACCACTTCAGTCCTGCTCCACGCCTCCGGAGTAGTGCCACCATGGAGAACGGAATTGAAGAGCTTCTGAAGGACATTAAGTACCGGTGTTCCACCCGCTTTCGGAAGCTCCGCTGTAATTCCATCCTCGCCTGGGGCCATGCCGTTTTTAATGTTTATAGTGTAATTAATTATTCGTTTGATTACGTTAACGAAGGCCACAAATAGTTAATGCATCCATCCGTCAATTCATTATGGCCTTTAAATGACCACTGCTTAACATAGACCTATACAGTAGCACTACATAACCTATACAGTGTCCACAGAAATCGAAATAATAAGGCAATTATTTAGATTTTTGTGACAGTGCCTCATAGAGAAAGATTTGGCCATACTTGTCTCGCTTGTCAAGCGGACTTGAAAACGCAGTTTTTTTTATTAATTTTGAGTTGTTCATAGAAATGGTACTGTACGTCTCCTATTTAAGTTCCCCCTGTTGATTCTTACGTTTTTATTTCAATAAAAATGATAAACGCGACGTCGCATGATGGGTCTGGTAGGTAGGGTTATATTTAGGGTTTAAGATATTACTAAAAGTATATAGATAGCTATTTATTAATGGTGACGTCAACTACCCAACCTAAGGTTTGGGTAGTTGACGTCACCACACCAATCGATTGATCGTCGATCGACGGCATCGATAGATGGTTAAATGGATTAGTCGACGTCGATAGAGGTGCTTGATTATTCGAAAACCCCTCCTTACTCCACCAACCGCTATTTAAAATGTTATCTAGATAAATTTTAGCTAGCTTTGGCCTTAAAAAAACGCTCGCATTTAGAGTCTTTTGCGTTTGCGTCTCCTTTATAATATATACGAGCAACAGCGTACTGGTCAACAATAACGTGTTCTTTTCTGAATACATTTTGAAAGATGCCATTGATGAGCCCATAACCACATCGATTAATTTACTTACCAGAAAAAATTCTTAATGTATATCAATATAAATAAATTTAAAATTACAGCCTCTATATATATATATATATATATACATATATATGTGTCTCATTTCTGAGAGGGTTTTAGGGCAAGGAGTGCGTCCACCGCGCTGCCCAATGCGTGGCAGTGAACTTCACATATCTTCGAAATATTTTACTTTCTACATAGATTCCTCACATTGTTTTCCTTGACCGCCGAGCACGTGTAAATCAGCGCTTAAAATTGCAATTAACAATTTAATTGGTACCGGCGGGGGTCGAACCCGGTTTGCTCGCGAACTGTGAAATTTACAGAAAGAGCTTATGCCCTGAGCTACCACGGCTTTTAACATATCAATAACTTCCCTTATATCCACCTTCGTGTCAAAAAGAAAAAAGTCTTTTTCAAAAAACGCAACCCCTTAATCCATCGAATCATCGACACCAGCTTCACCCATCAGTTCTGCACCCAGCCTAACCAACAACGTGGGAAAAGCACACTAGCACACACTTAAAAGGCCCTGTATCTAACATGAATAAAAAATAAATTTAGATAAAGAAAAAGAAGATACAGTTCATCATTAATAATAATTATTATTTAGAACCATAACAAATTGATGTATATTATATGGGATACAAGGGTGATGTAACAACTTCTCCAAGTGCCAATGACGCCTTGTTACGGGTAGTGAGTTGCAGATGCGGAGTGGACAAACTAAAATAATTGAACAACGTTTTATCGACCAGCTAAAGCTATCACACCAATCGATCGACATCGATCGACGTCGATCGATGGCACTGATCGATGATCTATCGATTGGTGTGGTAACACGCTAACAGTCTATCAGAAAAACATGTTGATATTTTTGCCACAGAACGCTAAAACGGTAGCAAAACAAATTGTTCAGTATTTCAATCAAGTTAATCATAACAAAACATTTTCCTCGTATTCAAAGCATTTCCCTTCACTCATCGCATAGCTATGTTGTTTTTCACGCTAGTAACACTAATTGACGGCCATATTTCTTTCTCAGTATTGTTTACTCACAACATGGTTCGTGTAATATTATTACTACTCATTGCACCGTCAACGGGACAAACAGTAGCCCTACCGCTAAACATGTAGTAGTAAGCGAACTCGTATATGCTACAGGGTCGGATTTAATGTATTTTTGATTATATATAGATATAAAGTTACAGCCTATATACATGCAACTGCTGGGCACAGAACTTCTCTCATTTCTGAGACGGTTTTTTGGTAATTATTGTGGACGTGATACTGAGAAATAACAAAAAAATATTTCGAAGACATGTGAAGTTCGCCAACACGCATTGGGGCAACGCGGCGGACATTTCCTTTTCCTAAAACTCTCCGAAATTATACGATTACTTATTTTTTGCACAACTCGAAAGTGAAGCGGAGAGGTTGGGCTCTACTATCGACTTGACAAGGTCACGTTACCCGCTCTAATTAAATCGCGTTTATTTTTGAACATGTATTATGTTCATCACTAGTCTCTTTAAATCTACTGATGTTGTTTGATATGCATTACTGGGAATAATTAACAACTTTTACAACGCCGAGCAGATGGGATAGATAACACCCACCACTTTAATATTGGTTGCCGCATTTGGGTTCGTAATATTCGAATGAATAAGCCGCCATTGTTTCATCTTCACAGTCTCTTTTGTGATAAGCAAGGTAGACAAGTTATGAAGTAGCCGGAGTATGTTTTAAAAATACTAATTTATTAATTAAAAGATGTTTAATCGCTACCAGAACTCACTTATGACTTTAAATTCTATGCTTAAGACAATTGCTTGAGAGCCCACGCAGGAACTCGGCAGTTTTAGTTTGTCCACTCCGCATCTGCATCTCGGTGGGTCTCGCCACCCGTAACAAGACGTCATTTGCACTTGGAGAAGTTGTTACATCGCCCTTGCATCACAAGGATCAATGTGAGGAATCCTACAAATCTGAAAAATAAGAAAATAAAATATTTCAAAGACATGTGAAGTTCACCGCCACGCATTAGAGCAGCGCGGTGGACGCACTTGCCTAAAACCCTCTCAGAAATGAGACATATATAGGATGTAATTTTAAATTTATATTGATACATTGTAGGAATTTTTTTCAGGTAAGAAATGCTTTTTCTCAATGACCTTTCATAATAATTTAGAGGTTGGTACTTCAAACCTATATTATTATTACATCCGAAAGGAGGAAACAAATATTAATATACCAGCTGAATGCCTTTAACCCTGATATATAACGAATGTGTGTCAGCTGTCAATAGTCGCTATATCGGAATATACGGCACACAGATTGCATAATCGCTTAATAACTTAACTGGTTCTCAATTTAAAACGTACAATGGGAGCACTTAAACAAAATATATAGGTAGGTACTTATTAATAGTTTCGCATAAATTAAAACATTCTTATTCCGGCCCTGATTAATTGTAACTTTGTTAAATAAGATATCCACAATCTTGCTCAAATGGCTGCCACAGTTTCTAACTTTCGAATTCAGTTTGGAAAGTCTATTGCGTAATGCAACTTTCTACGTGGGCACTTAAATGTACATTTGTTGCCTCG